AAGTTCCACCGCTCACATCATCCACAGCTGCTGAAGCACAAGCTGGGCCCACTTCCACTCCAAGGCCAGATCTGTCGCCCGATGGTTATGCTTGGACGCTGGATCATCTTCCACCAGTTCAAGTCCTTCCTCCACCGAATTATTCTGGTCCGAGACGGTGAATGCTCAGAGTATCTCTCGTAGTTTTTCGTTAAGCTTCACGGTCAAATGCAAGCTCGATTCTGCTGAGCTGCATTTCATTTTCCGTACCAAGATGAACCTAATACACTCATCAACTCTACTCACACATAGGGGTGACATTCAGTTGCTGAGTCATCATTTATCGCACTAGATCCAAGGTGCAGACAAGCCCGCAATGGCTGTGGTGAATCTTGTCCACCTGAGTCGTGCGACGCTGTTATTATCCAATTACTTCTTCGCTTATTACAGTCTTGATCAGTAGGTCGCTCACATCCTGGCGGGGAGAATTCAGTGATCCACACTGAAAGAGCCGTTAAGGATTAGTAAGACGTCAAGAGGCGTCACACTATTGCGCTGCGTATCCTTTTGTTCGTACGTACTAGTCTTCGACCACCCGACTGTGGTATTGTGTTGCGGAATAGTACCCGCATATCGACTCCAACACTCCTAACAAGGAATTGGTTATATCATACTGATCGGTTTGAGCTAAGCTGTATTAAGCCTTTAAGCTGTAGTCTTATCTCTTTCCATTCCAATGTTATTACGACTTATCTACATTCCTATCTTGCTTGTGTTAACTTGCCACACTACCGTAGATAATCTACGTTAGCAAGCTACAATGCCGGTATACGTCACTACTTTGCATTCTGTCGTTTATGGTCCGACTTGTCGGGTACTTCCTTCGAACTTTCACCTCCCTCAGCGTCGATGCTGCTGCGTTTGCTTGCTACATTCAATAACGGCTTCACCGCGCCCAATCACCTAAGTCATATTAAGAAATTCGACATCAATCTAGACTTTGACACCGCACCCCTCGATTCAGCTCGAACAAACGCTGCCATCTCCGGTCTTAAGAAGTCTACGCATTGCCCTGAATCTTCGGCTATTCGTGGTCCTCTCTTGTTAAAAATTATCGAATGGGCCAAGAATCGTGAACTATACTTGTTCGCGGCAGCCGCTGTTGCTGCCTATAATGGAATGTTCCGTGTTCGTGATTAATACCTCACTCTCAAGCCTCCTGAAGTACATTTCACATCCGACAATGCTGTTACTATTCATCTTTTCACGAAAGAATTCTCAGCGTGGTGCTCGGATCTACCGATTTTGTCCTTGTCAATCGTATCCACTTTTATGCCCACATGCATTTTTGTCGTCTCTGAAAGACGGTCTCTCATTAAGAGAGTCTCATACACCACTCGAAAACGTGAAGTATACATGTGCCTCTATTCGCGCCTCTTTCTTATTCTCCCTTCAATGCGTACACTAAGCAAGCTCTGGCCGCTTCACATGTTGAACATGTCATGTTCCTGAACACAGTGCCTATGCTTCTCATTGCTATCGGCGTGGACATTGTAGGGATTTATTCGCTGCGGGAACCCCTGTAGCCAGAATATTGCGGATGGGCGGCTGGCGTTCAAATGCTTTCAAAGCTTATCTCAGTATGCCCGAGGTGAATGTGTGAGCTGAGCTAAATATCGCTGTCGAGAAAGTCACAGACCATGCGTTATCGGATGTATCTGATATTAAACATTATGCATGACCTGAGTTCAATCCATTATACTAACAAAATGAATATGAGTTTTGGAGTTTTCACGATGAGGGGAGAATACAACCAGAGAGATAGCTTCGAGTGAACGTGTAGTCTCATAGACTTTGGTAGTCACAGCAACGAGTCAGGCGAAGGTCAATCGCCGCGAAACTTTTGAGTGGCTGGATCAATCAACGGGCGTCGTTGGGCGGGCCCTAGCGAGTCCAGCAGAGCGAAGTGTTGATTGTTGCAAAAGTTGACTGAAAACGGAGATCAGCGGTCCCTCCAACATAATCTCGCCACGATGAAGCAATGGTGAATAACCCGGTTACTGAATGGTACAGTACGCGCCATCTAGAGACCGACAATACGTGTGCAGAGGTAACTTTTACTACAGAGCGATTTCAAGCTAAAATTTCGAATATAAGCCCCTCTTATATAGTTATATTGCATGGAGCCTGTCCGCAATCAATTTTCGGATAAAAATTTTCATGCCACTTTTTTGCACGTGTCCGACCCTCGATATTGAACCTGCGCCCTCCGAAGTTAATTTAATGCATAACACAATGAGGTAATCCGTCTGTCCCTTATCACTAGCGTTGACCAGAGTGTCGATAACACGGCTTGTTCCTCAAGAAGACGGCGAAAATGAGCGAAGACATTGAGTTCACCCAATCATCCACGCAATCGGCGGATACATGTACCACGGTCAATTCTAGCAGCATCCTGAGTGCCTCTAGCGCTGGAGAGGATCTCAGCCCTTATCAGAGGAGCCGGGCTAAGGCGGCCAGGAGCCGACGTAAGCGAACCTCGAAGAGGCTAGCTACTAAGACAACAGCAGCCTCATCCGAGTGCTCTGTCTCTACAGCAAGGCACGGCTATCACACGAGGCTAAATCCGTTGAGTGGGAGTCAGCTTCGCAATGTTGGACATGTTAGGAAGAGATCTGGGCCAGTCAAGAAGCGTGTATCAAAACTAGTACAGCGGAAGGGAACACGCAGGCCAAGTAAACGAGAGCTGGAGATCCGAGAAGCGCGAAA